CCAAACAGTCTTCCCTCTGTTCTTCCTGCCGCCAGCCACCCGCGCCAGATTTTGAAATCTCGGAGACAAAACTAGTACTGTAAGATAAATTTTTGTACTGTATTTATTGTGTATAACGATTTTTTTAATGGAGAATTCTGTACATTTAGAACTCTTGTAAATTAAAAACCAATCTTTTTTTTTAAAACTACCGACGCCCCCTCAGCCCTTTGCTTTGGGGTCTTTGGGGTTAGAGTCTGGGGGTTGGGGTGAGACCTGGGTAGGGAGGGGGAAGGGGAGGGGTTATCCCACATGTATTAGTTGAGCACCTACTGGGTGCCAGGCCCTGTTCCGGGCACAGGGGTGCAGCATGAACCAGGCACACAGGAATTCTGCCCTGGAGGGGTGGGGGGTGGGGGGAGCAGGGACAGACTTAGTGAAGGAGGAAGGCTGAACAGCTCAACCAAACAGGCGTGTTTTTAATTTTAATTTTTAAAAAATGTATTTATTTCAGCGAGTAATGGAAAGGGAGAGAGATGGAAACATCAGTGACGAATCATGGATCGGCTGCCTCCTGCATGCCCCCCACTGGGGATCGAGCCCACAACCTGGGCAGGTGCCCTGACTGGGAATCGAACCCTGACCTCCTGGTTCATAGGTTGACACTCAACCCCTGAGCCACGCTGGCTGGGCCAGGCAATTTTTTTTTTTAAAGAATACTTCGTTGATTTTTAGAGACAGGAAGAGAGGTCAGAACATTGAATGGCTGCCTCCTGCATGCCCCCTATTGGGGGTCGAGCCTGCAACCGGACATGTGCCCTGACCGGGAATCAACAGGCAACTCCTGGTGCACGGGACAACGCCCAACCAACTGAGCCACACCAGCCAGGTCAGGGCCAGGCGATTTATTTTTCCTAAATATATTTTTATTGATTTCAGAGAAGAAGGGAGAGGGAGAGAGGGATAGAAACATCAATGATGAGAGAGACTCAGTGATGAGAGCTTCCTGCACGCCCCCTACTGGGGATCAAGCCGGCAACCTGGGCATGTGCCCTTGACTGGAATCGAACCCGGGACCCTTTAGTCCGCAGGCCCTCGCTCTATCCACTGAGCAAAATCAGCTAGGGCAGATTTTTTTTTTTTAAATCCCATCTCCCCACCCCTTGTCCTTTGGTAACCATCAGCTTGTTCTCTATGTTCACGCACCTGTTTCTGTTCTGTTTTGCTTACTCATTTATTTCGTTTTCTCCGAGATTCTGATTCATGTTAATGTTCCGTGGTCTCCTGAAACATGAAATTAGCGGATACTTCAAGCCTCTGGTCACAGCATTTTTGCCGAGTGATCAGAGTGTCACCTTGTCTTATGTGTGTTTCTGTTTAAAGACAACTTATTCATCTATATTGTTGGTTCATTAACATGGGGCTCACGGCCAACAGCACTCCAACTCACACCCGAGAAGAGGCCCATCCAACCCGTATTTTCTCCGCGAGGCACGTCGCAGCCTTTCTGTGCTCAAACACACCAGCCAGCGTGAAGCACCACGCCGGGGGCAGGGGCGTGGGGTGACAGGCAAGGTCAGAGGGACCAAAGGGGGGCTGTGGTGTAGGAACTCTGGGTCCCTGACTCTGAGTGAGGCGGGAGCCTCGGGACAATTCTGAGCGGAGGGCTGGGAGCTGACAGGTGTCCGCGGCGCCCTCTGGTGGCCGCATGGGGAACAGACGCGAGGGAGGAATCCACCCAGCCAGGTTCCTGTGGGAGTACAGGTGACTGA